GGGGTGGGGGCGAGGCGGGAGCGCCCTGCAGGGCATCCGCGATTCCCGCCTTGGAAACGGTGCCGGGGGAGCGCCCTGCAGGGCATCCGCGATTCCCGCCTTGGAAACCCTGCCAGGAAGGGAGAAACCGCTCTGCCTAAGGTGGTGATCGGGGCGCAACGGGTGGTTGGGTGTTTTCAAGCACGGGATAAACTTCTCTTTGCTTACAGGTAAATGTATTTGAATAGGTGTGCTTTGATAAGAACAAAGAGTGTTTATAGGTACTAATAACGTAACCTGCTCCGAACATGTGGAATATTTCGGATTGTGAAGACTTTTGCCTCCTGTAAAATTTTGCGACACATGAGGAGTCGGATCACTTGAGTAGAGCCAGCAGAACGCGCCAGTTTGTACCAGTTGTGAACTGGCCTATTGTCTTTATAGTAAAACGTGGAGTATCCCTATTTGTACATGCTTTGCTTCTGTTGGAAATACTGAATTAAATGGCATAAATTTGTTTTACTGTCTTTATTTTTGAGTTACTTTCTTCACTGACTTCTGCTGTAGATGACTTTTTTTTCCCCGAGTACTTGTGCTTGCTCCAGAGATAATTAATTTTCATTAGGAAAGTTGATCTGCTAGTCATTATTTAATTACGAAGTATACTAATGAGGATGGGTGATGAGATTTGCATTCTTGCAATATCACAGCCTCTTCTGCTGGGCTCATAGCAATTAGGTAATCTAGTTTTCAAATGCTCGAGAGAGGCTTTCAGTCATCACTTCAGGTAATGCTTGCTCGAGAGTATCAGGGAGCATGTAACGGTCTTGGAAGGTCCCAAGCGCTCTCATTTCTCGGAGGAATTGATGGAATTGAGGTTCTCAGACACTCAGTTGAGTACATGATCCCTGGTGCATAGCTTCCAGAAAGCAGCACTCAGTGAAAAATCATGGATGCAGTAAAAATAGCATCTTTGTCACTTTGTGCGGAACTTGCATACTTGATATATATGAAAAGGGCTCAGCCAAATCCCTAATATTACTGAAGTTAAGACCTTCTCCTAAGCTATCCCTGAGAAAACCTCCTACCAAGCAGAATCTTGTAAGCTCAATTACTAAAAATTAAACATGTTTGAAACCCTTCATTCCACTAACATAATTGCTTTTCCAGATTGTTTCTGTGTAGTCTAATAAATGATGAGAACAGACCACAGAGACTTTTTAGCATGTCCAGTAAGTAGTTTAAGTGTGGCTAGTTTAACCTGTGCTGTTTAAGGAGTGGCTTCTGGTAAGCTGATGCATTTTAACTAGCCCTCTTTTTAACTCAGTGTGTTCTTGTACCTTTTAAAAAAAAAAAGTCTCAGTAGATCCAGTGGGAGCTGACTTGGGAGCTGCAGGCTCTCTATTCAGTGGATATTTTAGAGTGGACTAGGATCGGGTAAAAAAGCAAACCAATTTGACATGAACCAGATGGACGCATTGAGGTGGCTGTGATGCAAATACCTCGTCACTGTCAGCGATGTCCATTTTTAAGAAAATAATTTTACATAATCCAGTTTGGAAAGGAATCAGGCTGAAGCTCACCAATGCTCTGCTGGGCCATGGAACACTTGATGAAAACTTGTAAAATCTAGAGGCACAGGGAGACTCTTTGCTAAAGTCCGTTGGCACAGGTCCAAAGGCATTATGCAATTATCCTCTGAGGAAAAAATAAGAATAAAACTTGGCTGTCATCAAGAGTTGTGAGACCTGTTTAAAAACTTCTTCTATTCTTGGGTTATTTTTCTTTCATGCTGCTTTACAATTTACCAAAGAAAAAAATTAATCCATGTGCAACAGTTGTATATGTTTCTTAATTTCTTTCTTTATATTTTTTTTAGTGACTATATTACAGATGATACTGGTTTATAAAAAGCAGTTAGCAGCTCACTGGAGATTTCATTTCTCCAGGAGTCACAACCTGGTGACTGGAACATGCAGGCTATTTTTTGAAAATCATGGCCAATCTTACAAAAGTCATCTGTAAAAACTGTACTGTTGGCATCTCAACAAGATTTAAGCTGATAAAATCACTTTTTTTTTTTTTTTTTTTTTTTGAAAATACTGGCTGAAATTTGGCTTAAAGCAGTCTTTGGCCCCCAGATTGTGAGAAGAATGTAGGAGTGGCCAAGGATGGTGTGATTGTATTTTTTTGAGTTCCTCAGCCAGCTGATCTAAGGGAGGTATAGTCTAAACTTGTTATTTCTGTCCTTGTTTGTATAATCAACAGAAGTTTTGCTTTCTTGGGAAAAATGATATTACATGACAACACTAAGTGTGGTACAACAGAGAACATAAACTTCATGGTTTAAATTCATGGTTAATACAAAAATATGGACCGGTGTAAATCGTCATAAGTTGACTGGTACAGGTTAGAATAGCATCACGGCAAGCTTTGCAGTAATTCAGACAACCTTCATTTGCTTCGTGATTATGACTGATGATAGCATTGCCCTAATAATATCATAATATTTGTATCCCAAACATTCATACGCTTTTCCTTATTTTTCTTTTTATGGACTGGCCTCATACACAATCATCTCTAACAGCAGCTTTTGACCTGTGATACTGGTTTCAAGTAAATACGTTACCTTTTAAATTAAGTCTGGATGAGTTCCATTCAGCTATTTTCTAACACAAATTTCTCTTTGCCTAAAAAGACTTCATTTTAGGAAATGCCCGTTTGCATCTGAGGTGATGCTGTTCTTTATCCATTTGTAGCTAAACAGATCAAGTTCTGGGAAAAATGAGGAAAAGAAGGGGAATAAGGGAAACGGGAAAGGTGAATCTCTTTCTGAAGGTGGAAAGACAGCCGTGGTGTTTTCCTTGAAGAATGAAGTTGGTGGATTGGTGAAAGCTCTCCGACTCTTCCAGGTAAAGCTTACAAATCATTACACTGACCGGACTGAGGAAGGCTATCGAGGTCAGGATGTTTGTTGGTATAAATCTAATGGACCGTGGCAGAAGGAATAGAGTGCAGTTACACTTTGCAGAACTAAATAAAAGTAACTTAAAATTTTACAGACCATTCAATAAAATATTTTGGGCTCGTGAAGTGTTTTCTGGAATAAAGTTTAACAGTGATGCTGATTTTCCCACCATTCTCTTTAGATTTCTGATGTGTGATTCTCAACACTAAATTAGATTTGAAGTTGTCAGTGCAGGCCACAAGGAAAGGAGGCACTTCCAGAGGGCAGTTCCGAATCTCGGTTACATACAATCAGGTGGTGGTGGCAGCCTTGCTGCAGGACAATGTTTGGTGACGAAGTTAAATGCACCTTTAAGTGCTTGCAGGGTCCGGGCTTTATGCATCCAACTAGAATGTAAATTGTGAAGTATTGGTTCCCATATAGATCCTCATGCCATCAGTGGGTTTTGGTCAGACTGCTGGTACTGCATGTAGTCTTCTTGCTTTATTAGTAAATTGAAGAGGGCTTGGGGGCACATCTGAGGGTAGTTAAAGCAAAGCAGTACCATAAAAGCCGTGGGTTGTTCAGTCTGCGCGGTGCAGTGAAGAGAAAGTTAGGAGGTAGCTTGGGGTCTGCTTCTACGGCCAAACCATTGGAGGGGTGTAAGCATGGGAGCACTGGGTATTACCAATCCTAACTCACAGAAGCTGGCTCTGGGAGCAGATTACCAAGGCTGATGTAGATACCTCAATTTCCTAGCCAAGGAAAAGGGGGTGAGTTAGACCCTTGGGAGGGCAGCTGCCAGGACTCAGGGTGTTTGACAGAAAGCTGGTAGGAATTGCAGGAATCATGGCTCCAATGCAGCTTCTTTCCAAGTTAGATGCTTAGCTTAAGTGTCTAACTGCAGCTCTGGCTTAAATTGTTTCATACCTGAAATCCTGGATTTACACATGAAGTCTTCCTGGAGGTGGGCGTATAACTCACTCTGGTCTCTTAAAACATGGTTGGAAGATGTTGCAGAGTTATCACTCCCATTCATGGGGTCGTCATTTAACGATTTGAGTACCGTGAGGGGGAGTGCAGGGGTTTGGTCTCTTCTCAGCCTAGGGTAGATCAAACCCACTTGTCCGACTTCACAAGAGAATGCCTAAAACCGATAGCTCTGTGCCAGCTGAAAACACGCAGGGGAGTCCTGTGGCCTGTGTTATTCAGGAGTAGATCATCAAAATGATCTTGCTCATCTTGGTAATCTGCCGGTTTAAAATAGTAGATTCAAAACCCTCAGCAGTTGGAGGGTTTTCCTTCTGTAAATCTGTTAATGTGAATGGGTTAGCTAAGGAGATACACCCTATACATAGCTTATGGAGCATGCCAGTTAAAGAATTATGTATGTATATCCAGAGGGGTAAAAGCAGAGATTGCTGGTTGGCTGTACTGGAGGGGACCGTTGCCTGAAGTGGACATTTCTGCAGAATACAGCAGGCAGGTGGAAGTAGAAGTGCAGAGTTCTCCCCATTTGGAAGTCAAAAAAACGTTTTATTGGCTTCACTGAGTAAGTGAAAGGATAGTTGTGAAAAGTAACAGAGAGTTTGTGTCTGGCAAAAAAAGGAAGAATCCAAGGGTCAATAGAAATACTGGTTGAAAGTAATCACTTAGTCCAAACTCCTATTTTGAAGCAAGGCTATCACAACAGCAGATCAGGTCAGCCATAACACATTATGGTTGTCTGTCATTGTACGATGCCCTTGGCAGACCAGTAGTTGTGGTGGGAGAGATACCCCATAGGAAAATTTTGATGCTAGAACTATTTACACACTGATGTGTTCAGTTTTGAGGGGGACATTATAATAGAGAATAAATTGAATTAGATTTTAATTTTATTACTATTACCACTTCAGGTAACTCATAATTGCTGCAAGAAAGATAGATGAGGACAGATACACAGTTATCGTTAGAAAATATTTTCTTCCCCGTGTTCATGAGAGATGCTGAAGTAGTACACATTTAATAGCATCTAAGTAAACACACTCAAATCCAGTTAAATTAACAGTACTATTATGCACATTTTCTAATAAAATCATATTTCATGCTTAACAAAGGTAAATACACAATTACATTACATTTTTTTCATTTTAAAAATGATAAAGTAATATTGTCCTTCAGAAAAGATTGCCTTGTTAGGTAAATCATTAGTTTTCTTCATTAAACACAATAGTATTATTTTTACGTTCAGTATACAGATCTTTTTTTTGTCTTTAGTATTTATTAAGCATCACTAGCCAGTTATGTAGGTTCAAAGTGAGTACTTTCAATGAAAACACCTGGTTATAACTGGGGAAAACTTTCCTGCCATCAACTTTCATGCCATCAATATTCCCTTTCTAGCTGGTAGGTCTGTATTTCACACGCTATTTCATCTTTCCACAGGAGAAACATGTGAGTATGGTTCATATTGAATCACGAAAATCGAAGAGAAGGAACTCAGAGGTGGAAATTTTTGTGGACTGTGATTGCAGTAAGAAAGAATTTAATGAACTGATCCAGTTGCTCAAGTTTCAAACTAATATTGTATCTCTCAATCCACCAGAAAACATCTGGACTGATGAAGAAGGCAAGGCTGCTTTTCTGTCACTTGTTTTAGACACTGACAAACGTTTTGCACAGGTCTGTCCATAGTCTTACACTCCAGTACATTCAACTTGTGTTCTGTCTTCTGCAGATCTCGACTGTGTCCCTTGGTTCCCCAGGAAGATATCCGAATTAGACAAATGCTCACAGAGAGTTTTGATGTATGGATCTGAGCTAGATGCAGATCACCCTGTAAGTGTAACGTAAAATTGTATTGTAGTTAATTTGTTCAGGTTGTTTGCCAGTCAGATAAAAAGCCTCTTGACTGCTGATTTGGAGTACTTTTTTGAGCATGCGGTTTTCAGAAGTTAGGGATTTAGTTCTCTTCAATGGTTCCAGTGAATGAATTCTCCTTTTCTGTAGTAGGACACCCAGAAAGGAGGTCCTCCAGAAAACTTACTCACTCTTGAACAACTATGTTCCCTTTTGTACTGCTTATTTTTTTAATTAACTAGTTGATAGAAGCCTTCAGACTCTGAATAGTTTAGATCAATGTGACCTTCAGTTCTGTCACAGCTCTTAGGTAAGAACTGATATTAAACTAGGTGTCAGAGAAGAAAGAATTATGAAGGAGGACTTTCTTGGGCACTCAAGAGATAATTGCAGAATAAATCAGAGCAACATGTTCCTATTTCTGCATGAATGCAGCAGATGGGAAGGTGTCTTGCATTGTTTCCTGACTTCGGTGACAGGAGACATTTCACACAAGCCATATCTGCAGTAGTGCCAAATGCTCAGTGCAAAAGGAGAAATAGATTTGTTATTGTTTTATTTCTTTTGGCTGATGTTCATAAATACTTAACTTCTGGGTCTCTAGATGGCAGGTGATGGCAAGCATTTTCACTTGTTATAAATCCAAGTTTCTACCTTTGGACCACTTGGCTGAAAGATACCAGTGGTAGCTAGTTGTATTCATTCCTACTCCAAAGTAAAATAGGCTGAATTAAACTGGTATTGTAGGAAACTCCCAGTTGAAAGGAAGTAGGGAATGAATTAAGGTATCTGACCATGAGATTGTCTTGTAATAGAATCAGATTAAACTGTAGCTGTAGGCAATAGTCTCCTTTGGTTTTTGTCACACACATTTTTGTTGGTATTGTCCAAGGTGGTGAAAAATGGCCCCAAAGAGATTGTAAGTGACAGCAGAAAGATCAGTTCGGTGTAGGGGACTCTCTAGTGATGCCTCTGTGCTATACCATGGTACTGCAGCACCTGTGTGGACTCCTCCCTGGTGACTGCCTTGGCTGAGGAGAGGCAGGTACTCCTGGTGGCCCTGGGTTTGGGGCTCTGTGTCAGTGCAGAAATGGCACTTGGTCCGCTGCCTTGTCTGCTCCACAGCTCCTACAGCTGCCGTGCTGTGGTGGGGGCTCAGGCACAGACCCTCATGCCTGCATATGCAAGCAAACAGACAGCATCACGATGTCCCCTGGCAGCCCCACTTCCCTGTCTCTGGTGTCTCCTGCCCGCGTATCACCCATGATAAGCCTCATCACCTTGCTTGGTTTTCAGCTGTTTCTACCGTGTGTGGGCCTTTCCCACACTGTGGGCCCACAGGTGGAGAGCACATTCCTGGATCACAGTTTCTGCCATGTACCTCCTGATGAAAAACGAGGATTTACCTCGTGTTTTCTCAGAATGGAAAAGTGTGTTGATTACCTGCAACCATTAACAGTAATTTGGTTCAAACAGAGGCCGTAGTGGCAGCTTATTCTAGCCTTGAGTCGATGACTGTGACGAGCCATTTGATACTGTTTTATGTTCTGAGCTGGTGCTTTCATTAAATACTTGAGTGCTCTGCTGAAAATCTGCCTTCAGTTTTACCGACAATGAAAAAAGACATTTGCATTATATGAATATATATTTTACACTTGGGGGAACTCTTATAAACATAATTTACACACCATTTGTTAGCCTATGCAGCATGCTAGATATTAGAGATGGGGGAAAAAACTGTAAAATCTGTGACTGGGCTTTCAAAGGCCGCTTCTGGTGCCTGCCCTGTTCCTTAGCGGTGGCGTATAGGTGCCAGAGGACCAGACAGAACTACACTATTACAGAACCAGCATAGCACCACTTCAGCAGCATAGCCCTAACGCACTCCATATTGGCTAATGGTTTCAGTCTCAGTTTCACTACATGCTGCAGGCTTTTAAATCCTCTGTGTTGTCTTCCATCACTCTTCAGCTCTTGGAACAGTCTGCGGCAGAGGAACTCAATGCTTACGTCAAAAAGTATTAGACAAAGCAGACAAGGAGGCACCCCCAGATTACAGCAAATTTTTGCCAGTTAAAAAGCTTTTCTGTGTAGGAGTAGAGGCTTGAAGGTTTTCTGCAGTCCTTTGACATCCTCCCTTCCTCTGCCCCAGCAGCGCAGCTTTGGTTATGGGGCAGTAAAATGCCTTCTGATTTTTCTGGAAGCTCATAGAAATATTTCAAATCGAATGATGTTATCTTTTCATTCCCTTTGGTGATTTTTATTTGTGTATGTGAGCAGTAAGGAAAAAATGCATTTTACTTTTTAGCTGACTAGGGGAAACTTAAATGCACTTTCTGGGCTACTAACTGGGGAACTTGGATAACTCTTTACCCTTTTTCATCATCAAGAGGTTGGCAGTTCTGCCTTGAAAACAGAGAATTCTTTTAGTAGTCCAAACCCTGAAGTGTCTACATCTTTTATAGGTATAGCAGAGATCTTGTTTTAGTTTTGAATAGCTCAAAGGGCTGTAGCTGGCTGGTGTGTATGTGTTATATAGCTCTTTTGCACTTAATATGGCAAAGGTATGAACCCATGGTAGCCCACGAGGTATTGGAGAAATATGCATATTTGCTGCTGGAGCCTGATGGTTCCATCCCCAATGTGTTGCTTAAGATGGAAACTGCTGAGGTAGCATCTTCAAAATGAGTTGTGTATGAACTCTAGGCTCTTGATTCTTCTAGTGAAGAAAGGTGTATTAAGGATAGGTAAATTATTCTGCTTTGTGCCTGCGTGTAGGTCTACATTCAGATTAAGGAGAACCTGAGTGAGACGATATGACAAGGAAAAAGTTTCCCTTTTTCAACACCTTGGATGAATGACTGTACCTATGCACAAATCTGTCTTGAAAAAACTCCTCTGGGACTTTGGTGGGGAAAAAAAGTGAAGAAATCTTACCTTCTCTTGCAGTCCAGTAAATAGTGTTACTCAAAATACAACATAATTAGGTACTAAATAAACACTTTAATGATTTATTTTAAAATTCTTACAGCTAATTTTCCATCCTTATTGTAAATTACTCTCTTATTCCTTGCTCAAGGGATTTAAAGACAACGTCTATCGACAGAGAAGAAAGTACTTTGTGGATGTTGCCATGAGCTATAAATAGTAAGTACTGGCATTATTGGAGAAATATGCATATTTGCTGCTGGAGCCTGATGGTTCCATCCCCAATGTGTTGCTTAAGATGGAAACTGCTGAGGTAGCATCTTCAAAATGAGTTGTGTATGAACTCTAGGCTCTTGATTCTTCTAGTGAAGAAAGGTGTATTAAGGATAGGTAAATTATTCTGCTTTGTGCCTGCGTGTAGGTCTACATTCAGATTAAGGAGAACCTGAGTGAGACGATATGACAAGGAAAAAGTTTCCCTTTTTCAACACCTTGGATGAATGACTGTACCTATGCACAAATCTGTCTTGAAAAAACTCCTCTGGGACTTTGGTGGGGAAAAAAAGTGAAGAAATCTTACCTTCTCTTGCAGTCCAGTAAATAGTGTTACTCAAAATACAACATAATTAGGTACTAAATAAACACTTTAATGATTTATTTTAAAATTCTTACAGCTAATTTTCCATCCTTATTGTAAATTACTCTCTTATTCCTTGCTCAAGGGATTTAAAGACAACGTCTATCGACAGAGAAGAAAGTACTTTGTGGATGTTGCCATGAGCTATAAATAGTAAGTACTGGCATAATTCTTTCCCATGCTGCTGACTAGTTAGAATTCATGCTCTACTTAATTCTGTAGGATGAAGTTTAACAGTAGACAAAGTCATCCTTTAAACTCTGACTAGTTTAGTGTAGGCTATAAATGACAAACCTGATGTTTGAAATCCCGTTACGTTTTCAGTACAGATACAGGCAAGTGAAGCATTTAAATGTAAGCGCTATCTCTTCAGCATTTTATTCATAGCTGCTTAAACTTAAGAAACTCTTTTACAAATGCTTGCATGTCTTAATGACAAACTGGTGCACTGCTGAATTGAACATATGTAGCATCCCTGTGTAGTTGGATGAGCTCACTAAAAAATGAAATTATTATTTTCTATTCATGCACTTACTATACTGGATTCTGCAAAATGCCTTTTATCAGTTTTGCCAACAGAGCTCTAAACTTCTCAGAATTCAGACAGTGGGTTTCTCTGTAGTTAGTGGAGCTGGTGCCCGTGCACAAATACACTGCATGTGTTTTCTCATTTTGATTTTTTTTTTTAACATGTCAAGTCAGTATTTTCAATTTTCTACCATCCATGGCAGTTAGAAAACTTTCTGTGCTACCTACAAATACCTACTGTGTTGCAATTTTCTTGTCACAGAAGCATTCAACTAATTCTAATCATACTCTAGGTTTTATTTGCAACAGGCCTAAGCCCTCATTCTCAAGGGAAAGAACATACTAATTTCATGTTCTTTTCCATTTTACCACACTTCTTCAGGTTTTTCATTTTACTCCTTTGAGATTTCTACCTACGTTGTTGAAAGAATATAAAACACAACAATTTTTTTCTCCCTTCATAGAAGGCATGTCCTGTCAGGAAGCAATTCAAAAATGGATTTTTAAGTTCTGTTTCTTTTTGTTTTTAACATAAGGCTAATACACAGGCTGCAGAAGGCTGGGGGGACAGGAGGATTAACTCTGCTTTGTGACCATATAATCCTGATTATATTTCTCCTTTACTTTTGTCCCATTCCTGTCATTAAGCTATTACCAATCTAACAAATGTGTCAGTGCTAGTGTTGGTTCCCCATTTTTCTGCCCGTGGTGGCATTTGTTTAGCTGGGTGCTCATGACATTCATCCAGCACACTGAGCTGCTGCCTGCTGGGGGCAGGGTGCTGGTTGGTGAAGTTTCCTAGGCTGACCAGGTAAGCCTCAGCTTACACAGGTTTCAAATGTAAACTGAGACAGTTTTGTGGGGTTTTGGTTTTTTTGTTTGTTTGTTTACAGCTGATTGATAATAATTTTTCAGTCTAATGCTTGCTGTAGAGTTGGTTCTTATTGCCTAGCATTTATTGCAGTGTGAAATGTCAAGCAGGTACCTGTGGATGAGGGCAGACTGTGTGTGCTCCTAGAGCTCTTTCAGTAATCTCGGATAGTTCTCCATTTACCCATGATGGCAGCAGTAGTGCCACGCATTTCACAGCTTCTAAGTTGCTGGAAATACCTTCCTCCCTTCTCCCTCTCAGCTGCCTAAGTGCTGGAAAGATCATGCTGCTGGTTCACTCAGCAGTGGTTGGTTTTCTGCTGCAAAGGGTTTTTTTTTTTCCACCCTGAAACCAGTGAGAAAAGTCTTTTTAGAAAAATCAGTAATCTGGCATATTCCCAGAAAAACAGTCAAAGAAAAGGAAAAATATTTTCATTCTTTAGATTTTGAAGGCTCAAAAACCATTTCTGCAGGCACATTACAAAAATCAAACAACCCAAAACAGGGGTTATTTGAGGGCCAGATCTTGTACTTTGGCAAAGCTGCTCAGAAGTACTCTCTCATCCCACTGATCTTTCCAGACCTTTAAAAGATTTCAAACTCTTCCTCTTATCAACAAAGGGAAACCAAGATGCTTCACATATTTTTAGCTAGGGACCACAAAATGGTTGGGAGGACAGTGGTTAGGGCAGTTACCTAGGATGTGACAAAATCTCCTTCATACTCCTCAGGTCTTCTGCAGTGGTTATCTTAACCCCAGGGATGTGCCATATCTAGTGGGCTTTACAGTTGGTCTGTCTCCAGGTATGCTTGTAGAGACAGCCCAGGCAGACATTTACCCTCAGCATCCTGCAGCTCAGCCTAAACCGCGCTGAAGAAAGGCAAATCAGCTTAGGGAGGACTCCATGGAATTAATATAGGTGTCTTGACCTATTGCAGTCTCATCACACTCTCTTCTGTGGTCTAATGACTATTTACTTATTTATACAAAAAGCTGTGTTATAAGGAATGCTTCCCTCAGGGATAAATTCAGACCGATGTCTTGAACCTCTCAGTGTCTTCCAGGTAAGCGACCTTCCTAATAATTTACTGAGGCTTGATGCATTTCTACTTTTCATTTTCCAGTGTAAAAAAAAAACCAACAACGCCACACTTGTTTCCTTAAAAAAATAACAAATTTGGCTGCAAAGAATTGGCTGCAAGGAGCTGTCTCTGTAAGAAAATTGTTGAGTTGAAAATCCTGTATCAGCATTTCCTTTATGAATTGCTGCTGTTCTATAGTGGTAGATGTTCTGCTTTGCTTGAACGTAAAGAGGCCTCTGTAGTGGAGAGAGAGAGAGAAGAACACTTAAGAAGTGAACTTGGAGGAGCAGATACTTGCTGGTGCGAGATATTAAAGGGAAAGACATGTTAATAGAGCACAACAGTGAAAATCAGCTGTATGAAATAAATGGACCAAAAAAAAAAAAATCCTCCCTCCTTCGCTTAGCTTCTATCCTAAAGATAGGGAAAATGTGTTAATCTTGCTAATTAGTCCTCTGAGACTGATCAGGGATTGCATGACCATGCCAAAATGGAAAGACCCTATTTTAATAAAGGGAAATAAAAAGTCAGGATAGGTTAGCTTGTAGAGTCATCTTACTCAGGCACACGATAAGTGGCTATACAGGCTGTCCATTCCTGTGATTTACGGAAAAGTTTGGGCGCAATGTGGATCTCGCTTGTTGAAGTAAGAGGGTGAGAAAAGTAAGATCTGCAGAGCTGAATGAGAAAGGCATATGTCCTCCCTCTAGTCTGGCTGCCTTGATCCTCTCAGTAAAGAAAGCAGTATCATGATCAGCTGGAAATAGGATCAGCTCTCCTAGGCATAAATCCTATTAAGGAATTAATGTTCAGTGAACCTTACTTCAGTACTAATGAATTAATTGAAACAATAACTAAGTTATAAACCTTTTAGTGAGCAGCGAACAAGCTTCAGATCCTTGATTGTGTTTATACCTCTCTAATGACAGGCTAAATAGAAACCTGAGTTCTTCTACTGGTACACAGATTTCTTCAGCTTTGCTGGGCCAGTGCTGACCAGTACTGGCAGTATCCATAGTAGAGGTCAGGTCTAAGGAAGAGGGATGAGGCTGCTGCGCAGCATTCTGGCAACCCCAGGTGGATGGAGTACCAGCCTGCCTGTGTCTGTCATGTACAGTGCAATTTGGAATAGCTGTGTTATGCTTTGTGTGAGCTGGCAGGCAGCTTAAGTCTGATAAAGTGTAAAGGTGAAGACAGAAACTAGACCTGAAGGACTGACTCCCACTGCAGAATGGGCACAAATCCAACGCAGCTTCTGTTGGTGAGAAATGCTGCGCTAAAGGTGTTGCAATTCTTGTCATGTCTGCAGAAGAGTGGCTGAAGGGGAACTAGCGGATGTATTGGATGTTCAGCGAGTCCTTAACAAGTATGAGTACAAAGTGGCCTTTGCCTGACAGATAACTGCCATGGATCAAAATACTTTGATATAGTGAAAGGCAAGGGGGATCAAATAGTAAATTTTCAATAAAGATGAGGGGACAACCACAATGCATGTAGGATGCTCTGCTCTTGTGCATGTAGGGACTGCATAGCAGCATTCATGTGTGATGTGAGGGCACATTCCTTGTTGCCTCATATGGTAGAGGCAGGATTATGGACCCGGCGACAGTCAAGATGGAGAGCCAACCCCCAGCAAAAGCCCAGCGCTGCAATTCTGCTGCTGCAGTGAGATTCCCTGTGCCCGATACGCCTGTTCAGCTGCTGTCTGCGACACTGGGGAAGCCCCAGCACTGGGCTTGGAGTGCCCACGTTGCCAGCCCCGTGGCAGGGAATGGGAGATAGGGACTGATGGGGTGGAAGGGAATCCTGTGAATCCCTTTGCCAGTCTGTACTTTGTTACAGTGTGGGAAAAGAGGATACCTGAGGAGAAGGCAGGCTGCTCAGATTGCATACTTTAGATTGTGAACATTAAATCCAGAGAAAGATTATAAATTTCTAGGGGGAATTCATAATGTGAGATGATGGCCCATGACCATGGCGTGCAAAATTCCTTACAGCTAAATAGAAGGCAGTGCAAACTGGAAGGAGCCCTTCATACTCTTCACACTGTTAGTTTTGAATTAGCTGTAACTACACAAGGAAAATCTCAGAAGTCAGAGACAGATTAACAGGTACCCTGGAAGGCTCCTGCTTTGCAATTGCTGTGCATTTGTGCAAGGGGGAGGAGGCAGAGGAATGGTGCAGAAGGGAAAAAAAAAAAAAAAAAAAAAAAAAGATGTGTTTAGAAGCTTAGATTCACCTATGCTAGGCTCTTGGCTCTGAGGTGAGCTTCCTCACGATGTAGTCCTGCATGAATTTGGAGTTCCAAACATATCTGCACATGTAAGTGTCACGGATGGAGTGAGAGGGAGGCAAAAATAATGTGGTTTATTGGTGTAAAACAGTGAGTTAACGAAGTTCAGTGGTAACTGCGACAATAGTTTGAGATTCGATGGCAAGGTACACTTTGTTATTTACTGCACAGAGGACAGGGTCAGACAAGACTGTCAGGGAGACCCTTCCGTTGAGTCATGAGGTTCAGAAAAGATCCGCTTGCTTTCTAAACTCCCTCAGAGAGGAGTCTAGGTGTGGCTGGATGCAATCCTAGTCCCAGACTTGGTCAACGGTTTATGCCTAAAGGATTATATATGCGCAATTAATCCTTTATGTCACTTAGCTAAGATTTCCAAGTTAGCATGCTGTTAGTCACTTACCGAGAATCTGTCGTGGTAAGGAATCTCTCAACCTCGAGGAGTAACCTTGAGAGGCGTCCCTGCTCAAGGGGAGATCCTGGTGTGCAGCCCGCTGCCGTGCAGGAGAGCTCAAAGGGCTCTTGGGCTGCTCACTATTTATGGGGGTAAGATAATTGGCTCACAGTCATATTCGCATACTGACCACTGTGCTTAGATGGGCCCATTCCTCAATAGCCCTTGGATGTTGTATTGTTATCTGTCTCCCCCCATACCCAGTGGGTGCATCCTTCACGCCCAGACACATCTATCAGATGCATCTTATCACCACAGCCACAGGTAGTTATCACTTGAAAGAGGCAAAGGAGGGGGGGTCAGAGATGGGGGGGGGGGAGCACACCGTCACAATAAACAACAGTCTAAACAATAAATATATATATTTTAGTTGGATCCACACATTTCTAAACATCTATGTAATTGCCTAATCTTCACTTTGAAATATGCTAGGTAATGATGCTGTGTGAATATCGTGTATTTTAAAGAATGCATGGAGCATGCAGTCTGCTGGTGGTCTTATTGAATCTACAAGTTAGACTGAATCAGGATCTTCAGCTAACCACTTGCAAAGGCATCAGTGGCAATAAATGGAGAAATATTACTCTGGTATAGGAACATGGCATATAAGAAATCCATCTTTCTACTATGATATGCACAAAAAATTAAGAAATAATTAATTGCTTAATAAGAAATACAGTTCTTAAGAAATAAATGTAGTATGTACAACATAACATCACGAAGAAATTCTATGAAGAAAAAATCTAGTTGTCATTTTAAAATAATTTTAATAGTGTTAATAGGCTCTGCCTGCCTTTATTTAAATAACACTTTTCACAGAAATTTCGCCATCCAGAGTCTGTCTTGAATCTGCTTATATTCAAATGTATTTTGTGTGGTTTTTTTTATCTTTTTACAGTGGTCAACCCATTCCCAGAGTGGAGTACACAGCTGAAGAAATTAAAACATGGGGGGTGGTATTTAGGGAACTCAGTAAACTCTATCCCACCCATGCTTGTCGTGAATATTTAAAAAACTTCCCTCTGCTGACCAAGTACTGTGGATACAGAGAGGATAATGTGCCTCAGCTGGAAGATGTTTCTATTTTTCTTAAAGGTAAGGTTCATATTTGGTTTGTCAATAGATCCAATTTCACGAAAACACTCTTTTCTCTTAGTATGAAATGCAAAGCACATTGAATGAAAAGACTCCCAGATTTGTCAGTGGACTTCGGTTTAGTCTGAAGTATCATTCAGGTTTTGACATTCTCCATGGCAGAGAGTTTGTTGAGTGAAGACAGTTGTATATATGTACCTGCAGGTATGAAGCTGAACACCTATCACATGATGTTATCTTATCTTGCACATGGAGGAAAGTCCTTCAGTACAGTAAAAAGAAAGAGCAGAGTTAGCTCTGCTCTTCTCATGGCTATGGGGTGGGTGTTCTGATAACCGCAGTGAGCATCCCCCAAATACCCAGTCAGGTAAAAGAGGGAATAAAATGCCAGGATAACTGAATTTAAAGAGGAGAGCAGGTCTGGCACATTCTTGTCCAGCCTGATGAATATGAGACTTTCCTGAGTACCCAAGATCTCGTGAAGCTAGTCATTATATTTGTATGTTGAAAAAACTTAGGGGGATTCCTTAGGTAATCCAGTACTTCTCTTTCATGTTTTTTTAAGGGGTCAGGATATTACGTATTTAAATTTGAAAATACCCTTCTTTTTCATCTGTAATGGAAACGTATCCCTTATGGAAGGAGAAGGGGCAGACATGAACCTGCAGTTTTTAACTCTAGAGGAAAAGCTGCCAAAGAGTTCAGTTAAGATTTTCTCTTTTCCTCAGGGGTCCCTTCAGGTACATATACTTGCTTCTTAATCCTCTTGCTCAGGAGCTTCTGGAGCTCAGGAACTAAAATATTATAAAGACAGCTGTTTGCATTTTTTTTCTCATAACACTTAACGGCGCACAACATTTTTTCCAAAGTGTTTTGTCCCAAATGTGCATGGAAAATTTTTAACTAAGAGAAATACAAATTTTCTAATGAAACACTTACTTTCCCCAGTCCCTGCTTCATCCGTAACTCTTGTTTGTGAAACACCTGCATTTACTAATAACTGACTCATCACTCTGAATTTGATTGTGTCCTTCTGGGTCTCTCATCTGTTGTGTTATGGTCTCTAAGGAATGATGCCAAAGCATACTGGTCCTTTCTCCCTAACTAGAAACTCAAGATCTCACACTTCTTTCAGAAACATGTTTTCAGACTACATACAACAATAGTAGTATCTGTTGAAGAAAAACTTGGAACATTCTCCTGTAAACACTTGGAGAGAGTAAAGAGAATTTGGGAGAGAAACATCCTTTTCAAAGTCACTGAGTCTGAAATAATTCCCCATTGGGACTAATCTAACAAAGGAACACTTTGCTAAATAAATGAGGACCTCAACTTTGAAAGTTGTTATTTTACAGACACAAACAGTATTTTATCTGTAAAAATAAGGACAGATTTGATTTAACCCTATTCTGCTCTGTTAGTTTTGAATGTATTTTACAGAAGTCATCTTCTGTTTTGGAAACTTTTCTCCTGTTTGAGAATAGACATTAAAATCAGATACTTGGTGATTTGAGAACATCACTTGTGGTACCTTACCATCTTTTCTAGACAAAGGTATTAAAACAGGCTTTAAAATACATCAACCTGTTTTCATGAAACATACGCTAGCAGTGCAAAATAGTTCTTGTACATAATAGGTGGAAATGATGTGTGGTGATCTTCAACCAAGATACTCTCTGTGTTGTGCTTCTGGTAGAATAATTAACTATAGATCATTACCTGTCCTCAGAAATGGATATAGGGATATATAATATGGTCTTTTATTACTTCCTTCACTTCCAGAAAGGTCTGGCTTCACAGTGAGACCAGTTGCTGGCTACCTATCTCCCCGAGACTTTTTAGCTGGCTTAGCGTATAGAGTTTTTCACTGTACTCAGTACATACGACATGGCTCAGATCCTCTCTACACTCCAGAACCGTAAGTTACTACATTTGCTTTAGTGCTGAAAAAATATGGTTGCTGGATTCTTAAAAGACCCAGTTGAGTTTGCCAAGATTGAAAAGAGGAACCTTCCCACAAAGGTGAAGATCTAGTTATGCCATTGATGACAAACCCCTTCACATTGGTGAGCCAGAATTTAATTCAAAGGCTTCTTTTGGACTTTTTACTTTTCTTAAATAACTAGGCAATTTATATGTTGGATCAAAAAATTCTATCTGGATTATTTTTCAGTGGAAAATGGGGTTTTCAACTAAACATTCTGAAAAAGTGATCTAAAATTTTATTTTCTGGTGGTTAACTAAGGAAAAAAGTTGGGAAAAAAGCACTGAATCCTTGAAAAAAATCACTTTCACAATTCTAATTTGGTCTTCTTGTGTTCTCATTTATCTTTTTTGGGCCAGACCCCACAGCTGAACTTCACTTCTCTCCTATAACACAATGCAAGCAAGTCATGAGGTACTGTTCTCTCCCCCAGAGAGGATGTTAGATATCAAGCCTGTTACAGGGAACATGATAGAAATAAGAGACACTTTAATTATTACTTTCATGGGACAGCACTGCAGCTTTTCCAAAACAGAATATTGTGAGTTTGGATGAAATATTTTGGCATTTGGTCTCTTGATGAAGAGTGGGGGGAGAAAAGATCGAAGCGATTGTAATTCTTGTCTTGTATTATGTATGGTGTGCTCTGTTCAGTAATAACAGAACAATACACGTCAGTTAAATAATACAGCGGTAGTTTCACCAAAGGCATCCACTGATCTTGTAACCACAGGAACGACATTTTTGCAGTGCATCAGTCATCAGACGGTTAGCATGAAATTGTAACTGTTGTTTATTCAGCTTGTACTATTGTGGTGTATTTTATTTTTGCCAAAATTTACACAAAGGATTCACATATATATATATATATATATATTCAGCTCCAGCCTTGTAAACACTTGGACCCATGCATAACTTTGATTTCATGAATAGACTGCTGAAATAATGGAATAATATTTTTGGATATAAAAGGATTAATGGAACCGCATATTAAGCTGTCCCTAAAAATGCTCTAACATTATTCTGGCAGGAGTCACCAGATGGTGCTGTTATACACATACCTACTTACTCTTTTCCTCAGCATGTGAACTGGGCGAACTATATGCTAAAATTTTTGCTAGTTTTGTGTGCGTGTTTTTATTGGGAAAGAGGCAGTAATCCCTGAAGGAATTCACTCACTTCTGTAACCACTGTAATTAGAACTTTAATCTCTTAAATATGTAGGCAAATTGCTACAATGTAAAATCCTGAAAGAAGGGCATGAATATATGATGCTGGACATCTTCTGGTCTATCTGAAAACGCCTGTAGATATTTAAAAAAAAAATTATATGTACCCGGTTTTGCACCAATGATTTCCTCTCCTGTGGGAAGCCAGTGTCTCAGATTGCAGCACCTGCCAATGCTCAGCAAAAGAATAATGACATTTATTAAGTAATACAAACTAGGAGAACATTTTCATCTATTGATAGAGGATTTAGGTACATAACTACCAACAGAAATGAAGGAAGGAACATGTTCCAGGAAACAATTCAGTGTGTCTATGGTTTGGCCGATGTTCTCTGGTTCCTTCCTTTGTATATTTGAGACCCCTGTAGGTTTCAGGATGCTGCTCACATTCAGAATTATGCAGTGTGTCATAGCTGATCCTCAGTAGTAATGGCAACTACTTTTTTGTAACCTTTCTGGTCATGGTGTCTGGGAAGTCACTATGTAGTAATACTATTTCAAGTAGAATGAAGATTTTTATCCCTTATTTGGGCTGAACTTAAAAATCCAGGTTATGGTCTTAACAGCTCTAAATATGACTAACAGAGCAATTCAGTTGTCAGATTCTAATGGCGTTACTCTATTCCTGCAGACCTACTTGTTCAGAAACCACATAAATTAAATAATCTGTCCTATCAGGAACTCCACAGAAAAAAAATTGAAAATCCCTTTTAAAATTTGTTTAATTTTTTTGTAGAAGATAGAGCATATAGTGTGTGTTATCAGAAATGTGGAGTGAAATCCTGGCTTTTTTGTAATCAGCAGCAGAACTAAACCGACTTGAGTGGGGACAGCTCTTCATCTTCTGCAGTAGCTGCAATGCCCTGAGATCTGCTGGTTGATATATGGGGCCATAATGAGGTTTGCTGCAGGTCCCTGGCTTGCTGAATGTTGCATTTCAATGATATAAACCTGGTAAAAAGACTCCCTTTGACTTCAGTGGGCTTTCCATCAGATTTAACACCCGGGCTATAGAGCTAGATACAAATTAGAGAGTTCATTTGGTTTGATCTGTATCACTACTATATGCATTTTAAAACATTTCTTCCTCAGTTTCATTATGTTTCTACTACATTCACAGAGCTATATAGATTTCCTCTGCTCTGCTAACTAATTTACTCCAAGAAAAATCTTGTGCTGTGAAAAGTGCATTACGAAAATCTTATTTTCTCTGAGCAATGCATGTGAATAAATTAAAGGAACTTAATTATTTTCTGAATAAAACAAAACAAAAGAATCAAGCCTTGGTAGTTAAGCGAAGAATTATATTGTTTAGGCTATCTATAAAGGGCCAGACTGGCAGCAAAATCTAAGAGACTCCAATGACAATCCCAAATGCTGGTTCGTGGTTCTGCTTGGAAGACTTGATTTTTTGGGGTGTTGCTTTTTTTTTTTCCCCTCATATGTTTTTGTTTCAAGCTCCCCTCTTTATAACTGCATGTTCAAAATACTACTTTGCACAGTTTTAATGGAAGAATCTAAAAGCTAAAGGCATGAGAGAAAGATCTTCTGCCTTCTCATCCTCCTCCCCTTACCAGGAAAGACAATAATGGGGCTAGGCTTTGTCCGTTCTCATTTTGTCTGCAAGGATGGAAGTGACACAAAGAGCCCACATCCCAGTGCAGAACTAGAAATAACACTTCTTCACGTATTTGTTTCTGGGAGTTGTTACCTCAGCACAGGAAAATGGAGATATAGACACTAACTCAGCTACTAATAGCGGTGATGCTGCTGTAGAAGCCTGCCTGGAGACAAGGGTGCTTACCTGAAGCCAGGAACTTGAAGCCAATCCCACTATATCTTCTTTGCTCTCCTTATTTGAACTACTGATATGAAGTTACCTTAAATATATCTGTACTGACACAGTGCAGCATAGGTGAAGTGCTCAGCAATCAGTGTTGATTTCTCTAGCAAAGGTGGAAAATGGAGTTAAGAGTTCAGGACTTCCAGAAAATGGGCTTTGTGGCCCATTTCTGTGTTGAAAGATGATGGCTGGAGGAGTCAGGTTCCTCCAGTGAATTGTTTGGTACTTGGAATTCTCCAGGTGTATCTATCAGACTGCAAACTCCATTTCCCTGCTGTCCTTTTTATCGTTAGCAAGCTAAACCTTTCAGGAGATGGCAGAAGAAATTGTTGTGACTGGAAGTGAATAAATAAAGAAGAGTCATTAACCTTTGATGATTATCCACTCAAGTGATTCAAATCATCTCCTGAACAAAGAGATGGATACCATGCAGAGCCAGCCAATTTTTCAAGTCTGAGCTCCAGTGGAGAATGGAGTAATATCTAAGCTATGGGTCTTGTGGTATGGAACTTCAATCATCTTGCACGACTCGGAGCATCACCAAATGGGTGGGGAGATCATAAAAGAAAAGCCTTCTTACTGGCTGCTTTTGAAGAAATCAGGAATTTCCTAGGCTCAGAGAGATGCAATGATGTAGACACAAGGGAGGAAAGATCTGACTTTCAGGAGGAAGGGCAAGCTTTACCAGGCAGTGGGAAACAAATACAAACAATTTTCCTTAAGTACTTATGATGTCTAATACTGTTCCTAGCCAGTTGTACATATCAAACATGTTTCATGGGTGTTGACTAAAAATATTGGCACATGATAAATTTGAGCACTCAGCCTATGTTGCTACAGCTGAGTCTCTACTCAGTGTCCATGGACCGTGTTCGTTTTATCATGCCATGCGCAAGAGTATCTGTTTACCTCCCCTGTTTCTTTGGGAAATACCTATGTCTAGGAAAGAAGAGAAATGAGATTTGGTAATTCCTCTGTACCGTTGAGTGAATTACTCATGTATGAGGTTGGCTCAAACTTGTCACGCACAACTTCAGAGCAGTGCTTGTCTCACCAAAAAGTGTGAATATAACATGAGCAAATGTTGGTAAGCGTCTGTCAGCGAGGCCATCTGGGCTGAGAAGAGAGACTTGTATGTAACGCTCCAATATTGGAGCTGTATTTGATAAGCTTTTGGTGAGGCAAACTAGGAATGCCAAAAATGTTCATCTTCATTTGCATGCATTCAGAAACTACTACTATCTACCTAGACACAGTTGGCACAGACTTCTGGGTGAAGAGAACTGAGTAAGGAGGCTTTAAATTATATAGAGGGTTGTTTTTCTGTTCATGATTTATCTATCTGAAGTGTCAGGTTCTGTGTCTTTTCAAACAAAAATAGTTTATAAAAGACAAATTGGATTATTTTGGATAGAAGGCAGAAAACCTGATGTTTTCTCCCTGCCTTTAAAGCATTTGTTTACAGCTTAGGAAAAAAAAAAAAGAGAAATGTCTTTGAAGAGACAAAAGCAAAGGAAATGTCAGATCTGATTTTTAAAGTGAACTTTACTACCAAGTCCATTATTTTCTGTGAACAAATGCACCAAAACTTTCAGAATTGTTTGAGAGCTTTTGTAGAAGATGCATGTGCACTTTTATTTGTTTGGTTAGCAGTTTTTTGTACACTTACATCTGCACTTTGTCGTGACTAATAATGCACTTACAGGTGTGGACAGTAGTTCTTTCTAAAACAATGTGGGTTCTATGCTTTTTCTGAAATCTGCTTGGTGAAAAGTGGACTGTGTAACAAAAATACTCAGAAATTGCAGTAAGAAGTCAAGACTAAATGAGAAATTAAGCCCACAGAAACCTCTGTAAATATTGCCCTGAATTTCTAGTGCCAAGTGGCAAAATGTTTGGTTGTGGAGCTGTACCCAGGTGCAGAAAGGGGAATGGAGAAGAGGAAGAAGGAATGTGTTGGATTTTGAACTTGATTCATGTGGAGAGAAATGCTGAAAACTGTACTTGGGAGACATCTGGCTTTCCTTTGGGCAGTTCAGTCTTCATGGTACTAAGCCTGCAAGACAGCAATGATCAGGCCCTCCCACTCAATCTGGAAATGATGGGGAAATCACAGAACAGGTGGAGTTAAATGACTTATAACCCATTTAATAGGAGCAAACTTGTATGTTTCTACAGAACCATATGTAGGGAGGAACAACTATTCTGTAAAAAAACATGTTTCATTGTAAGACTTTTAAAATAGACGTCAGTCCCATGTAAAATGGCTTATGTTAAATTAATTATGGAATAATAATGGAATTAAATTCTGTAATGACTCTCTTTTCATTTCCATTCCCTTAGGGATACGTGCCATGAACTCTTGGGACACGTGCCTCTACTTGCTGATCCCAAGTTTGCACAGTTTTCACAAGAGATAGGACTTGCTTCACTGGGAGCATCTGATGAAGATGTTCAGAAATTAGCCACTGTGAGTCAAAATCTTTTTGTGGCATGCTCTCTCATCTGTCCTCCTCTTTGGTTGATGAAGTGACGTGCATTGTCTTATTAGAGCTGACTCCATTTTCAGGTTGCAAATGACTATGATGTGACAATCACAGAACTTTAGGTATTTTTCTATTGTTTTTAGTAAGAGCAAAGCTGAACACAGTCGTCTTCAGGTAGTCAGTTTTACTTGTTATGTGAATAGTCACCAATTTTCAGGGCTAGCTGAGATGGATTTTGTCTACTTTAAGGTGCTGAAAACAGCTTACCTTACAAGCAAGGTAATTTTGAAAGAAAAATTAAAAAACAAAACCCCGACATTTTGGTGTGTGCCCGCAGCTCTACAGTGTTAGCTCCTCCACAGGTGGCCACTTTGGCTCTTAGCACTGCTATTTCTGTACTCATTGTTCTGGTTTGCAGCTGTTCACTGTATTGTAGTGTGTGATGGATTTTGAGATGATGTTGCGTTCTTGCTACTGCTTGCTCCTGTTGGAGAATATGTAGTTACTAAGCCATGGCTATGCAGTAGTAGATCTAGACCTAGGTCAAGTGCCTCAGCCAGTGGCTGTGAGATGGATTTTATGTTGCATCAAATGAGGCACATGCCAGTAGGTAGCGTGAACTGGAAGACGCTGTGTGTTAAAGATGTTAGATGCTACTGACCACCCAACTGGAGTCTTCTTGGCCCTCATGTGAGGGACCCTCATGCTGCACTGAAGGGCCCTGTCAGGTTGCCAGGACTCTCAGCTTCTGTCCACCTGTCAGCCCTGCTGTATTGCCATTTCCAAATAACTTGTATGTAGCCCTTTGCATCATGACATAGGTTGGTGACCCCTGGTCTATACCACTTGCCAGTTGTTTTAACTCACCTTATGCTTCCTTTTGTGGATCCTATTAAAAGTAATGCTGCAAATAATTTAATGAACTATATTGTATTGAAAAACAACTCCATATTTAAACATTTTATCTCATGAAAAACTGTGACAAACAGCAAAATAATTGGTTACTTTAAATTTTATCCAACATACTACTGCTTTTCTGCATGAGGAGTGCAGTGGGGATTTAAAGGGTTGGAAATAATTTGGACACAGTGTTGAAGGCAGATTTAAACCAGGTTCAACTAAACTGTAATAATTTTGATGCACTGGCTTAGTTGTGGCGTGGAGTCCCATCTGCTGAAAAAGGAGTTTTTACCCATTTGTTAGCTTTTCTCCTGTAGCCCTCCAGAAGTGGCCACCAAATTTATTCAGTCAAATGGGCCTCACTCCTTAATTAGACAGGTTTGATGTCTTGCTCATGGCCAGTTCATCTCACGTGCTTCTTTGGTTTTCTAGTGGATGTCTACTGAGAAGAAACTGTTGTTTGTATTGAAGAATCATGAAAGTTGTCTGTCCGTTTGCATATTTGTGAGGAAGGGATTTAGTAGGAAGCAGACCTACCTTGTCACGACCTACAGCCTCAAGAGAAACTAGCTAACTGGCTGTCCCTGTCGGTACTTTGAGGAAAGCAGTATGTCCAAGTCTTTCACCCCAAAATAACCTTGGATGACATGGGCTTGTTGCAGAGGACAATGTTGGGACTGATCTGTTTGGGGAGAGAGATAAATACAAAGTGACCTCTGTGAATATTACATAAATGCTTTTACTCCTCCCCCTCATCATGCAAGCTCCCAGTTATGACTGACTGTGTCATCCGAACAATGAGCTGCTCCTGAATCACAAAGCCAAAAATAAAAGAAGACAGCTGAATCACTTTCCCTTATCACACTGAGATGTTGATATCTGAGTCAAAGTTGATTTCTCCTCCCATGCTGGAAATAGCTCTTTCAGGTGGAAGAGACATTTAGAGAGAGACTTATGGTAACCCAGGTGGCGGTGTTTTTTGCAGAAGCACAATGAGGGGCTGTACTCCCCTGGGGCAGGTGCTTGACAAATACAGAGATGTTACTTGCCCTAAAATTTGCAATGTAAACAGTCAACTTGAGAGCAAGTAGAAAGAACATCTCTCAGCAGTGAGGGTGAGGAGGCCAGGAAATTCATTCAGCTGAGCACCAAATGTCACCTGAGGTGCTATTAACTGACTTCTGCAACATTCGGTCCCATTTCCATCCTAGATAACAACCAGAGACGCAGTGAACTGAGAAATGCCAGCCAAGAGTCTTAACACAGGAAAGCAGTGCAGGTTCCAGTGAGGCAACTTCAAAGTAAATAGAGAAACAAATGAAAGGAGAGAGAACATGCATATTAATGAGCTTGAAGCAATATGCCCAAAGCAAGCTTGCCATTAGCATGACCTGTTTCAAAAGATAGTGACATTAACAGCTGAGCCATTACAGGGACGACAATGGCTTTAGGAAGAGAGGAAAATGCCTCTAAGGAATTCAGACCAGTAAGGGAAGAATTATTACAGGTGATTTCATCATCTTTTGCTCCATTCTGCTTTCAAAAACCACCACATATCAGCCTTGATAGATCTGCTCTTTGTGCCCCATCAGTCCTGAGCTGTGTAGGAAACGTGCTGATGTTTTTGCCCCTGCAGAGCCGACACTGTAGATGTAGAGCAAGCTGGAGCCTGGCCTCTGGGCAGACTAGAAGTGTTTGCTAAATTGCAATTAGTCACATCTGTGCAGCACCACTGAGGGCAGGGATTAAATGGGAGAGCACCGCAGAGGCCCTGGTGCTGGCCAGCCGGAGGGGGAAGGATGGCTGCAGGGTAAGAGGGTTGAAAAGGATGGATGTAAGCTCCCCTCATCCTCTTGTTTGAGTCTGGTAGTCAGATTGGGGCAAGGAGAAAGGAATGGCTTCTGCTCCTTTTTAAACTTAAGCATTCTTACCATGAGAAGTGGAATACTGAAAGAGCCAAGGAACTGTCGTTGCAGTGGCTTTTGAGATGCAGTTTCCTTTACAATGTTCTAAGAGAGTAAGAAAGAGGGAAGGTACAAAAATCAAGTGACTGAAAGATATGTTACTGAAACAAAACAAAATATTTGCATAATCCAGTTTTTTGCTTGGAGTGTGGTATAATGCAGTTACTAGTTGAGGAAATACAATGTGGCCATGCGTGTCTGGGTGCTAATTATTATTGTCATCACTAATATCTTGTGCTACTCTCTGTGACTTTCTAAAAACTCTTTTGAGTTAAGAGTGCCTGGTCTTTCTACTTTCACATAGTACAAAAATAAACAAAGACTCTCTTTTCTGCTTGCCTATCAAACCATGAGCTGTAGGGACGACTTGACATGAGGTATTTCAACTATTTTATATAATGTATCATTTACAACGTATTTAATAGCACATAACATTAGGTTTTGTCAGGAAAATTGTACAAAAAATATACCTTAGTTTACATTTCAGTATTACCTTGTAATTTGTGGACGTGGGAGCCAGAGAGCAGCTGCCTTTGTAAAGCTGCAAGTTGATAAAGCAGGATCCTGTCTCTCTTGCTAATGGCAGAAACGACTCCCAGTTCCTGCCGAGTTGTTTCAGTGCAGCTCAGGTGGCCCCTTCATGATGCAGTACGTATAGGATGTGTTTGTTTATGTAAAATTCAGGGGGGCACGCTAACTGGTGGCAGTTCAGAAAAGAGGAGGTTAGCGGAGTGTCTATGGTTTGTATGTAGTTTATCATCAAATCTTCCCATTCAAGAATTTGGCCATTAGGAACTAATTAATCACACTAACTTTTTTTGTCAGAGGTTTCTTACTGGAAGTTACCTTTAAAACTTCAGTTCTCTAGAACTGTAAAATTACCATCTTTTAATCTTTCTTGATATTTGTTGTGGTATTTAACAGCGTGGGACAGGAGAAATCAAGAAATTTTTCTTGGTTTTGCTAGCCTTTATGCAGAAAACCGCAATAGTGAGTTGCTTCTGAATTTGAAGGAATTGTGTGTGATGAGGTCTTGTAAATGTATTTCATGTTTGTCATGAGTCTAAATGTTTTACCTTGCCTGGATGACTGAGGCCAAGGGTTTATTTCTAAAGCTGACTTGCATTTATCTGTGTATGTATCACAAACAAAATATCTTAGATATATATGCTGGGATAAAAATAATGTTCAGAACCGCCTCTCTGGGAGAGGTCAGTGGTAATTCATGTGAGTTTACTTGCCTGTCTTCTCTCAGGATTCTAGTCCTTCTCCCCTCGCTGAACAACTGTCACATAGTTTAGGACAATTGCACGTTATGTTTGCTGAGGAGATAACCAGAATGGAAGAAACAGGAGCATTGCAGATAAAGACTGAGTTGCATTTGGTAACTTTAGGTAGATGCAGTGTTCATGGTCTCACTAGACAGAGCAGACTGTTGCCGTCTCTCATCTTCACAAACAACAGATTAGATTTCCCAGAGGGGCTATTGATAGTGCTAGGCCATAAGTACAGCTTGTGAACTGGATTACTGTCTTCCTCCATGAATAAACAAATGGAGCTGAGAAGAAAACTATGAAAATATTTGAGATTTTGAACATTCCCACTGTGCATCTGAAAAATCAAGACTGCTTGAATGTTTCTCATTTATAGTTGCAGAATGATAGACATTGAACTAAGCACTGTGGTAAGTCTGTGATCAGCTCCCCTGCTGAAGCTATTCTGCCATATAAAAATAATTATGTATTGGCCAACTGAAACCTGGTATTATAGCCCACTGAGTCTATTGAAGTTTAACATTCAAATCTCTGCTCAGTCTTTTTCCTGTATCCCAATTGCATACCATGATTGTGTGATTAATGCCAAGAGTGAGCATGGTGAGTACCCTAGGTCCAGTGGAGTTTCTTGCAAAGGAGTTGCTTCCAGCTACACCTGTCGTTAATAAATAAAGGAGCTGCAGCGTGAAGAGCTGGGAATGAATGTGATTTAAAAACTGCTTGAGTAAATTTTGACAGACCTACAGGAGACATATGAAATGACTCTGATGTGGGATGTGTGTCACTTAGGGAAGATGGACCAATTCCCAGGATAAAAGCTACGACTATAAAGCTGAAATTGGGTAT